TATTTCCACTGATTTATAACATCTCTTTGGCCATATTTATCCATCAATTATTCATTTACTTCTTGTTGTATTATCTGTATTTAATCTATCTTTTCCACTCCATTTCACCCACTTCACTCTACTCACTCTCTTACATAATAATGCCTAATGTATTCCAGAACATCTGTCCTTTCATATGCTTCCTTTCGCCGTCTCGGATCCTTCCTGTGCCCTTGGTTGAATCCGTTCGTTGACGAAAGCTACCGACTGCTCAAATTATGATCAGTAGGTTTTTTGTGAGGTGTCCCGGGGTAGCTTCCCGACCAGAAATAAATGTTTCAAAAGGTACTTGTTCGTTTCGACTTGCAAATCAGAATGAGTTCTTTATTTTTATATCTCTTTGTTCAAGGCTTATCGTCTACGTACAATCTGCTGACCTAGCGAAATGAAAGTGAAACCGGACCGGATGCATATAGTTGTCCGTCTCGGTGCGGCCCAGTTGTTTATGTTTATTTGGCAACATAGTTGCCGGCCAGCTCTGCTACTCGAGTGGCTGCCGGAGCGGTTTCGGCGGGGGACCGCCGAGGTCAATGCTGAGGCGGTAACTCGCGCACATTTGTATACACTGCGACAGTCAAGCGTGGGAACGCTGACTTAGCTATTTGGGCGGTCGCTTTTATCGAGTGCGGATCATATTTCGTCTGCACTTGAGTATGTGCATTCTGTTGGCATAACAACAAAGTGTTACTGTCTTATTTATATGTATGTACGTACATATGTATGCATGCGACATGTACACATCGAATTTCACAGATTCATCATCATTTCATTATCCTTGTAAGAGTGATAGTAGATATTCCGATTTTTAAACTGACTTTTCCTTTTCGTTAGAATAAGAGATTCCGTAATATATAAAAATTTTAAAGGACGGCAAAATTTTAAGGATTGTGTCGATTTATTCAACAAAATAACCCTTGATTTTTGATTTACCATGTAATGCAAATTATTTAAATCACAAATAGAGTTCAGCAATGTTAAATTTATGTTATTCCTTTGCGGAAGCTCTACATAAAAAAAAAGAATTTATCAATCCTGACGGTCCTAATCAGGATAATAAAATTTTTTTTATCATATTATTGCATTGTCATCGGTTCTTGAGAAGTATGCTAAGTTTCAAGCTTATCAGATATTTGGAAACTCTTGAAAATAGTGTTCAAAGATTACATACATACATACATAAATACATCCCGAACTAATAAAAGCGTATTAAAAAAAGAAAACCCTTTCACTGACACTGGTCCCAATTTTAGTGATTATGTTTTTATTTGCCCTACAGATTCTGCCGTTACCCTAATTTTTAAAACAAATTGCGTTTAATTTTCATTAGATTATTTCAAAGAAATGGTGGCAGCATAAAGTAAAAGAGAAACGGAATTATTGATTTCTCCCACGGGATCAGATTCTAATTTTCTATTAAGCCTTACGCCAGTATCTTCATAATACAATTTTGGATGTCCTCGTTTATTTGATGACTCATTTTGGACACAAACCCTTTTACTCATATTTCCGGCTAGCCGCATAGCCTTTAAAAATTTTTCTATGTAACGGGAGCATCTTGGAAATGTTTTTATTATATTAAATAAAATATTTAATTTTATTTAAATTTTAGATGGGTGCTAACTTTCGAAAGTATGTACTTTCGTGAGGTATTTGCCGAGCTTTTCCAAAGTTTAAAAAGTGGTGCGCGGCCTTGCTCATACATTGCAAAAACGGTTAGTTGTGGGATAATAAGCATAACTGCGTTTTTTCCCTTGCGCAACTTTCTTAGCTTTTGAAAAATAGCTTCCAAGATAAACCGCATTTATGTGGACAAAACTAGACAAAACACCTGCTATAGAATTTTTGCGACATATTTTGGTAAACTCTCTTAATTTTATCAATTTATCAAAAAATCAATCCTTCCAAATCCCATAGTTTCTTACGCAAACAAAATGCCTTTTGCGATAGTGGTAGTTAACTTTTAGTTTTACTGTGTTCTTTTTAATTGATTAAGAAATTTTATATTTGGATTTATTTAATACACTTAATTTAACATGTTCATATGTTTAAGCTAATATTAGTATTTAAATCCCATCCGAAACAGATTCTGCACATTCACCTGGGCAACATCATAATATATCATCACAATATATTCATTGTATAATAATGACGATTTTATACTTGAATTGGTGACTGCTTGCCCCAAAGGTATTTCAACTCCATCACTTCGTAAATAACTTTCCTTTGGATTAGGCATTGTAACACCTCGACCGAAGCAACGAACTTGTGTAACTTCTTGAATGGTTTATAACGCCTTGATTCCCCTTGACGCTGTACTTTAAACACATCCACTATTTCCAGTTTGTATGCGCTATGAGTTGAAGCATGAGTGTTCTTAACATAATTTTTAAGAATGGAAAACTCTTCAGTACTTTTATCTAATGGATCTTATTTAGTATTTAATTGCGCATACTGTTTGTCCAAATGATTCATGTTTTCATTAGAATTTTCGCTTTTATCAAGTTATAGGCAACCTCGATTTCAGCTAGCGAATCTAACACTTCTCGTAAATCTTCGATTTGTTTACAAGTTTTAATTAAGTCTGGAGACTGTATTCCAAAACTATGAGGAATCTATACATATAAAAATGCTCTGTTCGTGTCTACTTCCTTCATAGACTTGAAAAGTTCTGAACCGTTTAAGCCCAAATTTTTACACAACATGCGTTGAGGTTCCAGCTCGGTTATTGTCTACTTTTGATGTTGATAGCCTATCTGCGTTTGCGAATATATCCGATTTTTTCGCGTTTCCCAGTGCCCCTACTGCTGCGCCCTCTACAGGCAGCCAGCTGAATCAAAGCATTTCCTGTCAAACATTCAAAACATATTGAAAGAAGAAATTGGAGATTAAAATTTTATTTTTTTGTTCAGGTTCAGTTAGAAACGAAGTCATGCCACCCAAGAAGTCGAGTTTGGGTCGTCGTACTCGCAATACAGAAGCAAAAAGACGTAAGATAACGGATATGTCTGACGAAGAACGGGCCTCCATCCGAGAGACTGAGCGGCTGAGAGCAATGCAGATGCACAACGCGAAATCAGCAGAAAGACGAGCAGATAGGCTTGAGAGAAAACGATTGAGAGTTAGGCAGTCGCGTTCTGCATTCTGTATTTTTGATTCACTCTCAAAATACTGAACGCGACAGGGCAAGGGTAGCTGAAGCTTGGATGCTCTAGGAGGAACGGGGAAAACATTCCTCATTACATTGATTCTGGCTACGGTTCGAGCTAACAAGGACATAGCTTTAGCTCTTGCTTCATCTGGAATCGCTGCGAAACCAGGAAGGACTGGTGGGAGGACTGCTCTTTCAGCGCTGAAGTTGCCGTTGAACATGCAAATCATCGAGACTCCAACGTGCACCATTTCCAGAGCATCAGGCATGGGAAAAGTATTGCAAAGATGTGAACTCATTGTTTGGGATGAATTCACAATGGCACGCAAAAAATCGCTGGAGGCTCTCGATCGATCATTGCGGGATTTGCATGGAGCTGTCCAACCATTTGGGAATGCGTTAATATTGCTCGCAGGGGAGTTCAAGCAAACGTTGCCTGTGATTTCCCGATCGACACCAGCTGACGAGATAAATGCTTGCCTGAAATAGTCTATATTGTGGCAACATGTACGTACATTACAGTAGAAGTCGAATATGCGTGTCCAGTTACAGAACGAGTACTCAGCCGACGTATTCTCACTTCAGCTACTGGACACTGGGAACGGAAAGCTGCCAGTCAATGAGACGTCGAGAAAAATAGTATTGCCCGAGAATTTCTGTAATTTACTTACATCGAAGGAAGGACTTATCCAAATCACGATTGGCTCAGTGGACGAGCGATTCTCGCTGCCAAGAACAAAAATGTATACCAGCTCAATCATGTAATCCAATCCAGCATAGAAACTGATGAAATTACATATAAGTCGATAGACCCCGCTGTGGAGGCAGAGGAAGCAGTTAATTACCCTACGGAATTTCTAAACTCACTTGATCTGCCTGGAATGCCACCACACATATTGAAATTAAAAATAGGTGTGCCGAATATCATGCTCCGGAATATAAATCACCCGAAAGTCTGCAACGGTACGCGACTTGCAGTCAAGAAATTGATAAACAACGTAGTAGAAGCAACGATCATAAGTGGTCCTTTCAAAGGTGAAGATGTCCTCATTCCTAGGATTCCACTGATCCCGACTGATATACCGTTTCAGTTCAAGAGATTGCAGTTTCTCATTCGTTTGGCGTTCGCAATGACCATTAATAAAATTCAAGGTCAATCTCTAGAGTTGTGTGGTCTAGATTTGGATGCAGATTGTTTTTCACACGGATAATTATATGTTGCGTGTACCCGTGTCGGAAACCAGATAGTCTTTATATTTACGCGGAGAATGGAGAAAATAAGAATATTGTATACCAACAAGTATTACAGAATTAAATTAATTTGAAAATTATTCTTTTTTGTTTGACTTATTTCTAATGCGTGCAACCACAATATGCCACAGAGAAACGTGGCAGGGTACAGCTAGTCCAGGTATAAAATCGATATGTCGCATCAATAAGTTTTACATTACTGGATCCAGATTTGATTAATTCAAATATTTCGCTTAACACTTTATAAGCAGATTGTTCTTGAATTACGCTGAGTTTTTTCAATGGAATTTTTTCCATATCAATATGAAACTCCATCAATGTCATTTTCATAAAATCAACATCGAACATGAGCCGTATTAAATTTTGTATGGAAGCATCAAGACTCGAATTAACAGATGTTTGTGTTTCATGTAAACAAATATTCGGTTTGTCATCATACTTTTTTTTTTTTTTTTTTTTTTTTTTTTTAGAAAATGCTTATTTTATTGAGCTGAATTTTATTATTGTACAATTACTGTAGTATAGCAACTTTTTTACAATAATGAGGGGAGAAGTTCAATGGAAAATGGAAGGAAGGTCCGGGGGTGACCATGCTACTTACTACCGGGACTCGAACCCGGACCGGCAGTGCTACGGGTTCCAGTGTTTGTCGTCTCAACTCTTTGAGCTACTGAATTTCTTTTGGGTACATTTGTCCAGTAATTTTAACAAAGTTGTCTCTCTTTTCAAAATCATTTCCAGTTTTATCAAAATAAACTTTTTGAAAGACTTTGATGGCGGGGAAAATTGTATCAAACACCTCAATTTTTCCAATAGTGGTACCAATTCGACCCCAAGATCGAAAAATCCAGTATCTGAAATTATGATCAAAACGCATATATTAATATAATATGTTTGTTTGTTTCGGTTAACAAAGTTTCTCTGTGTTTCTCTTGGTCGCTGAAAAATAAAATAAACCAAGAAAGGAAGCTAACTTCGGCACGCCGAAGTTTATATACCCTTGCAGATAGAACTTCTATGACTTGGAATCCCAACAATATAAATTATATTTATTTGTGTTAAAAAACAATGAAGTAATACCTGCTTTCATTTCATTCACCTTTACATATTATATTTGCAGTTTTACAGTCACAGATGTGCATTTTTTTCCACATCTAACGATCGTTTGTATGGCACCTATATAATATAGTCGTCCGATTTTAATAAAATTTCACACAAAATTTAAGACTAATATAAAATGGTTATACCTTAAATTTGATGAAAATCTGTTGAAAACTGAAAATGTTATAATTTTTAATTGTCTTAATTTCTCGATTGTTCCTATGGGAGCTATATGATATAGTTGTCCGATTTTCATTAAATTTTATACAAAATTGTAGAGTATAGTAAAATGGCTATATCTTAAATTTGATCAAATTCTGTTGAAAACTGAAATTGTTATAATTTTTTTTGTAAAAATTATCCGATCATTCCTATGGCAGCTATATGATATAGTCGTCCGATCCGGCCCGTTCCGACATATATACGAGTGAGAGTATATAGAAGGCTAACTGCAAAGTTTCATTCAAATAGCTTCAAAACTGAGAGACTAGTTTGCGTAGAAACGGACAGACGGACAGAAGGACAGACGGACAGACGGACAGACGGACGGACGGACATGGCTAGATCGACTCGGCTGTTGATCCTGATCAAGAATATATACACTTTATATGGTCGGAGGTGCCTCCTTCACTGCGTTGCAAACTTCTGACTGAAATTATAATACCCTGCAAGGGTATAATGAGACGGTTTGCTCTAGCTCTAAACAATTAAATATTTCTCATTGTTCGAGCCTTAGGTCTCGGTTTCTCATTGAACGAAAACACGAGACGGTCTTTTACTGACCGATATAATACAACCGAAATTATTTTGTTTGTTGCGTTAGCCTTATGCTGCACTAACTTAACCATAAAAAATTGATCGGAAATGGGCCTTTCTTCTTCTTCTGATATATGTACATACAGTCCCCCATAATGAATGGACCAAGACTAGGATAATATATGTATGTACTTTAAGCCATAAATGTTATGAAAATTTAAGAAATCAAGATGTAAGAATGTATATAAATTAATGCTCTATTACAAATTATTTGACCCACCCCACACCGTGTGCTTGTCCGTCCGTTATTATGCAAAATATTCTTTTTATTAATCTTTGGTAAACAGGAGCTGTCCTTTCACTACCATTTGATTATGTTACGGCACTGAGAAAGTCTCCGTTAGGATTTCGTCGGATTGGAGAGTCTTTTATCAAGTCTAGTTAGCAGAACATACAAGAGAAAAATGTGCTAATGTGTTGTTAAATGTTTACGTATTGTTTCTTTCTTAAAGACTGGTTGTTAGTGTCCTTTATTATCCGCCCAACCTTGTTAACGCTTCTCGTTATAGGTATTGTGTTAAATCTAATCCGATTTAATGTATGTTCTTTTATTCTCATTAATTTTCTTCATACTGAAAATCAGTGTAATGCCTAGTGTGAATTGATTTACTTGTACACATAGTGGTCAAATTCATAATACCCTTGGAGGGTATTGTAATTTTAGTAAGAAGTTTGCGTAAGATAGGTGAAGTAGGCGCAATTGAAAATATAGGACAGAATACAAGGAAATTGACAAATAAAAGCAAGGAAGGATCTGTTTTAGGCTTTCGTTTAGAGTAAACAAAATTATATAACTGTTTCGGCTCTTGTGTGGGGTGTGCTTGGATTTATTAAACGGTGGTCGAAGGAATTCAATGACCCCTATGTCACTAAATCCTTACATACTTCTTTAGATCGTCCTATCTTAGAATATCGATGCTGCGTTTGGAGCTCTCAGTACGACGTCCATATTAAACGCATCGCGTCAGTTCAGAAGAACTTTGTACTTTTCGCTCTACCCGGTTTAAAATGGGATGCAAACCAAAAGATCAACGTCCATTAAGGACCCCATTGAGGGCCGTCTGATTAAACCTAACCTAACTTAACTATCATTTCTGTGGTAGCCATTAGATATAGTCGTCCGATTTTCAAACTGAACTTGTAGAATAATACGATAATTCTCGCGAGTTATACATTTTTTCTACCATCCGATGGTTCCTATATGATGTAGGCGTCCGATCCGGACCGTTCCAAATTATATACGAGTGATATATTCATATTGAAGGCTAACTGCAAAGTTTCATTAAGATAGCTTTAAAACGAACATCACAAAATCGACTCTTCTGTTGATGCTGTTTAAGAATATTGTTGACGTTATGCCTATAGTGAGTTCTTTTCTTCTTAAAAATTTCTTATTATTTATTATTTATAAAAAAAATTGCTCTTGATCGTCGATCAGTTTTCAGTGTTACTATAGTCCCTTCTCATACTTAATCCTCTATTTCTGATTATCCTACTTTACATTAAATACGATATGGAGACGGTAACACACCGTTTTAAGGCAGTGAGACACTGCGAGAGGCAAATGGCTTAAAACTAGCAGTTCGTTAGGCCTGTACGGAGACACGATATTAAAAATACTAAAAAGTTGGATGGCGTTAGGAGATTTCTGACGGAATACTTTTTCTAGAGCAAGGTACGAAAAAGAATAAAAATTGCATTAAATCAGACTGTTCTCGAACACTTGCCACTCTCTCTTTCTTATTGCTCCTTTGCATAATTTAAATTTTAGATCTCGCCATTAACATGAACCATGTGCGGAAAAAATAAATTCAAAAGTTTCAGTTAATTTAGTAACGTGTTTTTGGCAATAATATTAATTTTTAAGGAAGAGGGGATCCTTGAAGAAATATATATTATAGAAATGTCTAGGCCATAAGGGACGAAATCGGACGGCTCCCCAACTCGCCTAGCCTATCTGAGAGATCTCGATGTTCCTGGCAGAGCTTAGTAAACGCCAGACTTTGTTAGATCGATATCGTTCTTGTGGATGTCATCCGATTTCGATTGCTAGTTTTATCCGGCACTGACTCAATGGGTACGTCATAGGTATAACCACTGGTGACACCATGTCTTTCATAACCCAGAGATTGATCCATCTGTATCGAATCATCCGAGTTCCTTGTACAGGTATTCCAGTTTGCTGTGCGACGCTAGAATACAAGCCAAAAAGTATGACTGCATCAATTGCCCTCCTGAAACATTGAAGTTCTAACAATTTATATGTATGTATACGTTATAGGGTCAGAAATGAAAACTTCTGAATAAAATAATAATACCTTGCAGGTATAAGGATTAGAAATTAGGGTGAGAGAAGGCATGTGATCTAATTGAAGACTGCCAGAGTATGAAAACTTAAGCGTCCAGAAAGTACCCTCTTTCCTTTTTTTAATTGATTGTATAGGAACAATGGGATTAAATTGAATTACTTAGTTATCTGGTTTCCTTTAGTGCCTCTTGTATGAACGGCTAACTATCCGACAAAAAAAATTAAATAAATAAAAAATGTTGTTAACATAAAATAATAGCTTCATACTGTTTTTTAGGAAAATTTACGCGTCCCATGATATAGCGAGAAATCAAAGAAGATGATAGCGCATGGTGGGAAATTTATGATTACTAATGATTACTATTTTATTCTGATATTTTGTCGTTTTTATCACTTAGTAACTGTAAAGATGGAGTTGTTCTATATATATTCATTGATAAATCTTTTCCTTCGGCTATGAGTTTTTTAGAAAAAGGTCGGTATGTTTTAAAAGAAATTATGTTGGCTAAAATTGTTTGTTTTATAATTCATTTCTTTTATTAGGATAATCGGGATCTATACTACATCTTTTTATGTGGTTTCTAAGATAATTCGATCTCTTATTACAAACAATCATAAAAGAATAATGTTTGAAGATTTACCAAATGTCGATCGAGTTTTAAAGTTGTGCAACGACATATATTTAGTACGTGAAACACAGGAGTATTGGCTTGAAGAGGACTTATATGGAAAGCTTGTATTTTTTTATAGATCTCCAAAGACTCTTATAAAATGGACACGATTTAAGGAAGATTTTTTGAGAATGCATCAAGCACACAGCTTAATAAGCGGCAAAGTCAAACGGATCATAATCATAAAAGCTCCAAACATTCCTCAGCATCCGATATTAGATTTTCGTAAATGTACATGTTTTATTATTTTAATAATTGCATTTATTTTATTTGTTCAACCTATTAAAGGGTCAAGGAAAGTCTTAATTTTCAAAGGGTTTAAGCATTTCTTAAGATGCAAAATTAAAATAAGTAGGAACCAGTTTTTCTGATCGTTATGTGGCAATAAAGCTGATTTAATAATTCATTACCCACCACACCACCTCCGATAAAATTACAGATGTACGGAGATGACAATGCCTAGTAACATTCTAGGGTTACTTATGGAAGGTAAGTAAAGAAGGAGAAATCTACTAAATATAAATTCATTATTTTCCCGAAAAATGGGAAAGAGGCTTGCTCCGTCCAAGATAATACGGTGTCTACCTAAGGCAATGGTACAATTCCTCCCGCCCTAAAACCCGGATAAAATTAATCATAAGCCATGGCTAGAGGTGTATTGTGACTGAATGTTAGTGTTAATAACTTTAGTTTATTAATTTTTATACCCTTATTATTATTAATGGCCATCACAACCCTATCGGGTCACAGCCTGTTGCACAATCTGCCTCCACGCTTCCCTGTCCTGGGCCCGCGCTCGCCAGTTGGTAACACCAGATGTAGACAGGGCTTCCATCACCTGGTCCTGCCAACGTATCCGGGGTCGTCCTCTCCTCCGTTTTCCGACGATTACCGCATCAAATACCTTACGAGCCGGAGCGTCTTCTTCCATGCGGGCGATGTGACCCAGCCAGCGGAGTCTTTGAATTTTGACTCGGCTTACTATATCAACATCCCCGTACAGCTCATACAGCTCGTGGTTCCATCTGATGCGATAAGCATCGCCAACGCAGATTGGACCAAAGATTTTGCGGAGAATCTTTCTCTCGAACACTCCAAGAGCAGCTGCATCGGATTGCACCACTGTCCAGCACTCCGCACCATATAAGAGTACTGGAAGAATGAGCGTCCTGTAGAGTGTTATTTTTGTCGGTCGAGAGAGAGCTCTACTGTTAAAGTGCCTACTGAGCCCAAAGTAGCACCTGTTGGCAAGTGTGATTCTCCGCTTAATCTCCAGGCTGACATCATTTGTGCCACTTATTGCAGATCCAAGGTAAATGAATTCCTTCACGAACTCAAAGCTATGGCTTCCTGCAGATAGCTGGGAATCAAGACGCCGCGATTCCCTGCTAGAGCACACCATAAACTTTGTCTTATCCATGTTAACTGCCAGTCCTACTTTAGCTGACTCTTTTTCAATAGCCCCGAAGGCTGCTGTAACATCACGCTTGGTTCGGCCAATGATATCAATATCATCAGCGTAGCCAAGGAGTTGAACACATCTGTTTGTTAGAATAGTGCCCGTCCGATGCACTCCAGCCTTCCTTATAATACTCTCCATTAGAATGTTGAAGAGCATACAAGACAGAGAGTCGCCTTGTCTGAGACCACACTTGGTATAAAAGGTTTCGGATTGGTCATTTCCTACCCTGACAGAGCTGATGGTGTTGCTCAATGTCATCATGCAAAGCCGTATTAGCTTTGCTGGTATACCAAGCTCAGACATGGCGGCATACAGGCGATCTCGCCGGGGACTATCGAATGCAGCCTTGTAATCGACGAAGAGGTGATATGTGTCGATCTGATTTTCGTAGGACTTCTCCAGGATTTGGCGCAAGGTGAAAATCTGGTCCATAGTGGATTTGCCAGGCCTGAACCCGCACTGATAAGGTCCAATCAGTGCTTCAGCATGGGGTTTCAGGTTTTCACATAGTACGCTCGTAAGGACCTTGTATGCGACTGGAAGAAGACTAATGCCACGGTAATTGGTGCGCAATGTGGCATCACCCTTCTTCAGGATAGGACAGATCATGCTGTGGTTCCAATCGTCGGGCATGCTCTCCGTTAGCCATATCTTGCTGATTAGTTGGTGCATGCTCCCTACCAACATATCACCAGCAGCCTTAAACAATTCAGCCGGCAGGCCGTCAGCACCTGCGGAATTATTGTTTTTAAGTCGTTGGATTGCAACCTTGACTTCGGCATGGCTTGGGGTCGGTACGTCCACATCAGTACCATAGATTGGGGTTTGTGGATCATACTCTCCATAGTCATCATAGCCAGAGCCAGCTAATAGACTTGAGAAGTGCTCCCTCCATAACCTCAGCACAATCTCTGCATCAGTGACTAGGTTTCCGTCATCGTCCTTGCACGCAACTCCTCCAGTCTTAAAACCTTGGGTCAGACGCTTAACACTCTGGTAGAAGTTACGAGCTTCATTCCGGCATCTGCTGCTCTCAATGCTCTCACACTCACGCCTCTCCTGTTCTCTCTTCTTGCGTCTGAAGAGGCGTTTCTCATCTCTCCTCCTTGACCTGTAGACCTCGACAACAGCCCTTGTGGCCCCAGCTTGCTGTGTTCTTCTGTAGGCGGCGTCTTTTGCAGCTGTTGCGTCGCGACACTCCTGGTCGTACCATGGATTCCTCGTTGGGGCACGTTGGAATCCGATGACCTCTTCTGCAGAAGTTCGCAGGGAGTGGGATATGAGTGCCCACATATTGCTGATGTCTTCAGGTGTTGGAGTTGCTCGGCTCAGCAGGCCTGAGACTTGAGTGGAGAATGCATCCCTTGTCCGTTGTGATTGCAGCTTCCCGATGTCCAGCTTTCTCAACAGTCCTCGACGTGCAACCTTCGCAACACATAGCCGTGTGCGAATCTTAGCTGCAACAAGATAATGGTCGGAGTCGATGTTGGGACCCCGACAGGATCGCACGTCGAGTACGTTAGATGCATGCCTTGCATCGATCACAACATGATCGATCTGATTTCTGGTCAGTCGATCAGGAGAGAGCCATGATGCCTTGTGTATGTCCAAATGACGAAACCCAGTACTACGAACTACCATATTATGCGCTGCAGCAAAGCCTATTAATCTGAGACCATTGCTCGAGGTGGTCTCGTGTAGACTAAATTGCCCGACGGTGGCACCAAAGATGTCTTCTCGCCCTACCTTGGCATTAAAATCCCCAAGGAGGATCTTAATGTCATGGGAAGGACAGCGGCCATAAGCCCGGTCGAGCTCCGCATAGAAAGCATCCTTGGTGACATCGTCCTTTTCTTCGGTTGGGGCATGCGCGCATATCAGGCTGATGTTGAAGAATTTGGCAGTAATTCGGATCGTTGCAAGTCTCTCGTTTATTGGCAGAAAGTGAGAGACCCGGCGCCGCAGTCTGGCGCCTACAACGAAGCCACAGCCAAATTCATGCCGTTCTGGATGGCAGCTGTAGTAAATGTCGCAGTTCTTCTTCTTAAGGCAACCTTGTCCTATCCATCGCATTTCCTGGATAGCAGTGATGTCAGCCCTACATTTATTGAGGGTATCTGCTAGTTGTTGAGCAGCACCTGGTCTGTACAATGTGCGTACATTCCAAGTGCATACTCTCAAATCATTGTCCTTTTTACGTGTGCCATGGTCGTCAACTTTAGATCGGTTCCGTTCCGAGGCTTCATCTGCTTCCTTCACTGAAGATTTGTTTTCCGTGGGTGGATTTCAAGTCCTACGCCACAACCTAGTTTGAAGAGCTAGGACTCTCGTCGCGCGCTTTAGTTTATCAAACAACGGGTGTTGAGTGACAATCCAGGGAGAACCACGTGGAGGTAGTGCGTCGGCTTGGGGAGAGCAGTGATAAGGATCATGCTGGCATTCACCAAGTTGAATGCAATCAGACACTTTACCTTATATACCCCCCCCCATTCTCCCCATTTTATACCCTTGTTTATACCCTTGCAGGGTATTATAATTTCAGTCAGAAGTTTGCAACGCAGTGAAGGAGGCACCTCCGACTATATAAAGTATATATATTCTTGATCAGGATCAACAGCCGAGTCGATCTAGCCATGTCCGTCTGTCCGTCTGTCCTTATGTCCGTCTGTCCGTCTGTCCGTTTCTACGCAAACTAGTCTCTCAGTTTTGAAGCTATCTGAATGAAACTTTGTAGTTAGCCTTCTATATACTCTCACTCGTATATATGTCGGAACGGGCCGGATCGGACGACTATATCATATAGCTGCCATAGGAATGACCGGAAAATTTTTACAAAAAAATTTTTAACTTTTTCAGTTTTCAATAGAATTGGATCAAATTTAAGATATAGCCATTTTACTATACTCTACAATTTTGCATAAAATTTTATGAAAATCGGACTACTATATCATATAGCTCCCATAGGAACGATCGAGAAATTAATACAATTAAATTTATAACCTTTTCAGTTTTCAACTGATTTTCATCAAATTTGAGGTATAGCCGTTTTATATTAGTCTTAATTTTGTGTTAAATTTCATGAAAATCGGACGACTATATCATATAGGTGCCATACAAACGATCGTTTGATGTAGAGGAAAAATGCAAATCTTTGAATGTAAAACTGCAAATATAATATGTATAGGTAAATACAATGAAAGCAGGTATTACTTTATTGTTTTTTAACACAAATATATATCATTTATATTGTATGGTTTTTTATTCATAGAAGTTCTATCTGCAAGGGTATATAAACTTCGGCGTGCCGAAGTTAGCTTCCTTTCTTGTTTTATTCTGTTCTTAATTGTTCAAAATACTGTTTTATACTTTTGTTTTGTCTTGTCTCTTTACTTTTACGTCTTATCTTATTCGGCTCTTCTTACAGAGATCTGCCGCTTGCAGGCAGCTTCTCTTCAACCCCTTTTTCTCAGATAGGCCCTTTAACGAGAGAGTAACATGCTCTCTCGAGAGAGTGCATCTCAATGAATAGTGTGCCCATAGGCTACTTATATTAAATGGCCTGTTACATCTCGGCCGCCCTGACATTGAGATAGCCCTCTATCTCTTTCTTGGTATTAACTAACTTATATATTTACAATTTCTTATAATATTTTACCATTTTTAAGTTTTGTTTTCTTTGCTTACTATCAATTATTTACAAACTTAATATATTTTATTTATGATTTTATCCAATGCCTAATATTATTCACACTCCAAACACCTTGATATGGATTGCGAGCCAACTGAAACCCGTTAATATCTTTAAGCAAATATCTGTCATTTTTTAACACCTTTTCAATTACATAAGAACCTTTATTTTTTGGAATGAGTTTTCTCGATGCTCCCATAGTGCTATCAAAATTCTTCACCATAACATAATCTCCTTACTTATAATCCGACGCAATGTTCTTTTTTGCATTGTAGTATTTTTCATTTTTCATTTAAGCCTTTCTTTGTACCTCTTCTGCATCTTTTCTAAGATCTTCTAAATTTTTAGTAAAAATTTCTACCACTTCTTCGTCTTCCAATCTCTCCTTTAACTCATCAGAGAGATTTCCTCTTTGTGTTATTCCAAATAATGTTTCATCAGTTCTCTGCACCGTAATCATTTTTAAAGTTTCCAAATTAATTTTCAAGTTGCAAGCTTCCATAAAATTCCTACCCAGCACAACATTACAGAGCATTGAATTGTCAGCCACAACAATTAAATTGAACCAAATCTTTATTTCTTTTTTCATAATAAAACATAACATTTTTCCATAGCTGTTAAGTTTACTCTTATTTAATCCATAATATGGTTCTTCTTGGGGATCTAATCTAACGTTTTTGGGTACATATGAATATTTTATAAACAATACTAGGCTTCCTGAATCGATCAAGCATTCTGTAATAAACAAAAATTTTAAATAATCTTACGTAGTTATTAGCAGCATCCTCCTTGTTTTTTCCGATGAAATGATCTATCACCCCACATCCATAGCAAGACCCATGGATTTTCTTCGGCTTAGTGCACTCCCTTGACCAGTGCCCTTTCCCGTTGCAGTTATAGCAACGCGTCTGCTGGCTTGCCGACTCATCCTTCTCGGAGTATCGTTTCTTTCCTTCGGGAGCCCTTACCGGCAACCTTATGTCGGCAAACGCTTTCAGCATCCTTCCAGGGTTTTTGAAACACTGCAGCTTGGCCTGAATCCGTAAATTTTCCGGGGGAATTCCGACAATAAGCCCTTCCAACAGCTCGTCATCCTCCATGTTTACTTCTCGTGCTAACTTGCGCTTTTCTTCGAAGTAAACCGCAAATTTCTCGGTTGGTTTCCATAACCGTGCCTCGAACTTACGTCTCAACTCGGCTTTGGACTCGTTGCCGCCAAACGCATGAAGTAACTGATCCACCAGCTCCCTCGTCGTTTTTCCGAACCCGGTTGCATCCGCATGCAGCCACTGCAAAGCTGCCATTCAATTTTGCAATCAGCAACACTCTGCTTTGGGTGTCCGATAGCTTGTATAATTTGGCTATGTTTTCCCATTGGGAGACCCAGGCCCGAACGGAAAAATTCTCCGAAAAATCCATTAGGATTTCCTTCGCAAAACCGAACGCAGCTGATAAAAAATCATCTCCAACGCCTCTGCCACTATTTGTGCCGCTGCCGCCGTTTTGCTCGTTGTCAAAACATTGAAAATTCCCGGATTTCTCGCTGGTCTCTCTTTCGTTTTCCTCTACCTCATTCGGCAAGCCCTTCTCGACTGCTTGTTCAAACATGTCGCCGTTATTCTCCGACGCCTCAATCCTGGCGCCGCTCACTCACGCGACGGCATTTCTCGAACCAAAGCTGTCGATCTGCTGTTGAAGAATTCCGAGAACCTTCCTTGCCTTCTCGATTTCTTGGCGTAGCTCGTCCATAGTTTCCATGTCTAGAGCCAGTTCCGCTCGATGTTTCGGCACAAGCTGCTCCAACAATGCTCCTTCCGCATCTGCATCCCCTATTTCCTGCTTATGCTGGCACATAGCCGGGAGTACAGATCGACTTTTAATCCCTTCGTAGATAAGTTCAGCCTTCTATATACTCTCACTCGTATATATGTCGGAACGGGCCGGATCGGACGACTATATCATATAGCTGCCATAGGAATGATCGGAAAATTTTTACAAAAAAATTTTTAACTTTTTCAGTTTTCAATAGAATTGGATCAAATTTGAGATATAGCCATTTTACTATACTCTACAATTTTGCATAAAATTTTATAAAAATCGGACTACTATATCATATAGCTCCCATAGGAACGATCGAGAAATTAATACAATTAAATTTATAACCTTTTCAGTTTTCAACTGATTTTCATCAAATTTGAGGTATAGCCGTTTTATATTAGTCTTAATTTTGTGTTAAATTTCAAGAAAATCGGACGACTATATCATATAGGTGCCATACAAACAATCGTTTGATGTAGAGGAAAAATGCAAATCTTTGAATGTAAAACTGCAAATATAATATGTATAGGTAAATACAATGAAAGCAGGTATTACTTCATTGTTTTTTAACACAAATATATATCATTTATATTGTATGGTTTTTTATTCATAGAAGTTCTATCTGCAAGGGTATATAAACTTCGGCGTGCCGAAGTTAGCTTCCTTTCTTGTTTTATTCTGTTCTTAATTGTTCAAAATACTGTTTTATACTTTTCTTTTGTCTTGTCTCTTTACTTTTACACGTCTTATCTTATTCGGCTCTTCTTGCAGAGATCTGCCGCTCGCAGGCAGCTTCTCTTCAACCCCTTTTTCTCAGATAGGCCCTTTAACGAGAGAGTAACATGCTCTCTCGAGAGAGTGCATCTCAATGAATAGTGTGCCCATAGGCTACTTATATTAAATGGCCTGTTACATCTCGGCCGCCCTGACATTGAGATAGCCCTCTATCTCTTTCTTGGTATTAACTAACTTATATATTTACAATTTCTTATAATATTTTACCATTTTTAAGTTTTGTTTCTTTGCTTAGTATCAATTATTTACAAACTTAATATATTTTATTTATGATTTTATCCAATGCCTAATATTATTCACACTCCAAACACCTTGATATGGATTGCGAGCCAACTGAAACCCGTTAATATCTTTAAGCAAATATCTGTCATTTTTTAACACCTTTTCAATTACATAAGAACCTTTATTTTTGGAATGAGTTTTCTCGATGCTCCCATAGTGCTATCAAAATTCTTCACCATAACATAATCTCCTTCCTTATAATCCGACGCAATGTTCTTTTTGCATTGTAGTATTTTTCATTTTTCATTTAAGCCTTTCTTTGTACCTCTTCTGCATCTTTTCTAAGATCTTCTAAATTTTTAGTAAAAATTTCTACCACTTCTTCGTCTTCCAATCTCTCCTTTAACTCATCAGAGACATTTCCTCTTTGTGTTATTCCAAATAATGTTTCATTAGGGCGCTGCTTAATACTGCTATGAACTGTATTATTCATAGAAAACTCTACTTATTCAATAACCTTCTCCCAATGTACTCCTCTTTCCGGCTCCGTAAATTTTGCAATCATAGGTCCAAAACTTCTATTAATTCGTTCAACCTGGCCATTCGCCTGTGGTTTGGTGTGGATTACCATAAATTCAGCTAACTTACCAGCCGTAAAACAACTCCCCCGATCTGATATTATACACTTGGGTCTACTATAAGCTCGGAAATAATCCGTAAACGCACTTCTTACTTCTATTGTATTCGTCGTTTGGGTTGTGTACAACCTAAAGAACTTTGTAAATGCATCTACAACCACAAATATATG